TTGAAATTGTACTCAGAATTGATGTTTTATTATTTCTGCAAATTTGAATTCTAATACATTAATACAGCTGCTTCTAATAACTTGTTGTGCTGATGAATAGAGTTGTTTCTGTCAGCAGAGGAAATCTCCACAGCTTTATCGTGTAATCATGAACTTGTGGCTTGGGCGCTTCGGTGATCATAGACACAATGGGCTGGGTTAAAGAACCATTGTACTGCTGAGATTACAAGCTGTTTTACTCAGCCTGAAAAATTGCAGCATTTCAAGCTGCAGAATTAAGCAATAAAACGACCAATTACGATCACTTCCATGTTCCGTCATTCCATAAACCGCCATAACTTTACACTGGCGCCAACTTATATTACACTGCATATGTATAGGAATCTGTGAACTTAACGGTCTGTATTTAGGGGGTTCTCGGTAGGCGTTTCCAAACGTACCCGAACATATTCCACAGCCGAATGTCATTTACACTTACCTTTCTCTGATGTCCATATTTTGCGAGTGTTGTCTGCTATAATCCATCTTCTTTAAAAACACAAATTCCCAGCTATTATGTTTATATTTACCAGCTCTGAGTGGGACTTTCAAACTGCAGAAACTGCCCCCATCCCGCTCTGAAGAGGAAGTGTGTGTGGTGCGCTGCAGACGCGCTGGATGGATCTCTCCGCCAATCCGAGAGCTGCATTTGAAACGCACGGAGTTTAACTGCATTTTCACTCATGTCTAAAACTCAAGGGGACTGCAAAAGTATTTGCCCCAAGGGAGTAACTGTTCTTTGCACAGTAGTTATAGCCTATTCCTTCTTTTACAATATTTTTGCTGGGCTCCAGTCATCCAAAAATATTTTTGTGTACTTTTTTTTTTTTTTTTTTAAACGTATCTCATAGTGTATGTACTTGTTTTAGCTCCACGTTTTTACTGTACTACAGGTGTTTCTTGTTTTCCTTCACTAACAGACTAGGTTATGTTTTTCAAGTGAGGCACAGTAGTGTCTTTAACCACTGAAGACGTTGTAGTTGCCAGGTGTCCAGAAAGAATTAAACTTTTTTCATTCTCCCTCTGGACTGTTAGCCAAGTACACAGCAATAATGTATGTCACTGGAAGTCACAGACTGGCAGTACAGTTTTTTCCCCTTGCAAATCTGTTTTCTTTGTTTGTCTGGCACATTTTGTTATTTTTGTTTAGTTTCTAACTTTTTCATCTCTATCTTTTTTCCTATCTTCTCTATCTTTTCCGTCTTTTAATCTCACAGTATGAATTTATATATCACCATTTGACTTTACACTCTTAAAAATAAAGGTGCTTCACGATGCCATAGAAGAACCTTTTTGTCTAAATGGTTCCATAAAGAACCTTTAACATCTGAAGAACATTTCTGTTTCACAAAAGGTTCTTTGTGGCGAAAGAAGGTTCTTCATACTATAAAAAGGTAAGAAAGAGATGGTTATTTAAAGAACCTTTGACTGAATGGTTCTTTGTGGAACCAAAAATGGTTCTTCTATGGCATCGCTGTGAAGAACCTCTTAAGCACCTTTATTTTTAAGTGTATTTCGTTTTTAAACTCTTTTTTTTATATACTCTTGAGGTGCAAAAGCCTTCCGTAAAGAGACAATTTAACAGTCAAATGTTTTCAGTTACTTAAAAATGGTCTTATATTATAGGTTACACTGGAGACATGTCATAATATTGCCACTGTCTTTTTGCAGTAATAGTTCTTGTTCAGCTATTAACAGTTCACAATTAAGTGACACCTCAAAAAAGGCAAAACAAAAGAAGGGCTTGTCGCTAAACAAGGATGGGATGTGGCTCATTATAATGTGAAAGCACTCATTTGTGTTAAGCAGTTTGAACACCTTTGGCCATCAGCACAACAGTAACAAGTCAGAGAGATCTTGGAAATGATTTCTTGAAATGAATACATTTCTTAAAATGTTTTAGTGATAAATGTAATACTTTAATTTGGAAAATGTAATAGCAATTTTAACAGCGAAATTACATCATACTACAAAGCAAGGTGAGGTTTTCCATTGCTAATCCAAATTTAAGAGGTATAATTGGAGAACAAGTTGTACTAAAAATATTTTTGTATTGTAAGTACAAATACATTTTTCAGTACATACATGCTGTATTAAAAGATCACATTTTGGTTGTACAACAGGAGAAACTGACACAGTTGTTAAAAACTAAACAAAAAGAACAACTAAATTTGCCAGTCAAGCAAAAAACACAGTTTTGCGATGCAAAAAAAACTTCCATTGACATACACTGTGCTTGGCTAACTTGGCTGGTATTAGGCCACTGTAAAAAATGACTGTGAATTTAACGGTAAAAGACTGTAAAAATGCTACAGTAAAAACCTGTTAAATGGTTAACGGTAAATTCCCCTACTATATACAGTGAAAAACTGTATTAAACATTACATGTATTGGACATTAATTTTACGGTAGTATACCGTTTTTTGGAAATGAAAAAGACCGTATAATTTACAGTGAATAACCGTAAATTGACATTCCCAGAATTCCCTGCGTTACATTTCAAATTTGATGTTTTTTTGTTGAAATAACTATGTTTCTTAGTTTTTTTCTTATCAGTTTTGTATATTAGGTTTGTGTGTTACACCTAATGTTGTTAAATGAATGTTTATTGCATTATTTCAGTTTCATGTGTGTTACCAGAACACAGTTTTGCGATGCAAAAAAAACTTCCATTGACATACACTGTGCTTGGCTAACTTGGCTGGTATTAGGCCACTGTAAAAAAATGACTGTGAATTTAACGGTAAAAGACTGTAAAAATGCTAATTACAATTATTAGTCTATTACAAAGGTACAAAACAGATGTCAGTACTTCAATAGGTTGGTGTATTAACATTATATCAGTTAATGAAATTACGGTATTTAACTGTAAATTTAAGTTAAAACCGTAAAACCTAAAACGTTGCTACCGTATTTTTTACGGTAAAATTCTGGCAACCACAGCTGCTGTTTTTTTACCATAAATTTTACGGATTTTTTTACAGTGTATACAGTATATAATTACAGGAAAAGTCAAGTTGTTACTGTCATGTACGGCACACCTCCTCCCTCACGCCAAAGCACTCCTGCTGTATTTCTATTGATGAAACAACTACATTATGTATTGCTGACCCACTTAACATAAACAAAGCCACACACTGTGAGTCAAGCACAAACACTTTGACCCTAAAAATCTGACTCCGGCTGAGACTGGAGGTGAATGAGAACTACATTACATACGTCTCCCTGATTAGCAATTAATATCAGTGATGCAGATCAAAATTGATTTCTGTAAAGAAATGTCTGTTTGTACACACATTTTTCCTCCCTATTATGTGAGGTATTTTCAAAAGCCATCTGGTCTTTAAAAACAGGCATTTCCTTGTGTGCTTTACAAAGTTATCTGTAGTCTACATCAACTGCACAGAGTATTCATTGGTAATTAGGGAATTCCCATCACCATCTAATTTCCTCAGCTAAAGCAGATGAACTGGTTTTGAACCTCTAAGAGGGTCAGTTGTGCTCAGCAGATATCCGTTCATAAAGCAGATTCATATTTGCATTGCAACTATTTCAAGTAATCCTGAAAAGAATGTATCAGGTTTTTCCACAAGAATTTTAAGCAGCTGTTTTCAATACTGAAATATTTCTTGAGCACAAATAGCATATTAAAAATGATTTCACAATATTACTGTTTTTACTGTTCTTTTGATTAAAAACAAAAATCTTTCTAACTCCTAACTTTTGAATGGTATATTTTATTTATTGAGAATTTAATGTGTATTAATAACTGTTTAGCTGAAGCGTTTTCATCAATAGTTAATTTCAAATATTTATATTTTATGGGTGAGACATTACAAATGCTATTCTGTGGAACATAGATCAGTGGTACTTATATGTGACCCTGGACCACAAAAAGTTGCACGGGTATATTTGTAGCAATAGCCAACAATACATTGTATGGGTCCAACTAATTGATTTTTCTTTTATGCCAAAAATCATTAGAATATTAAGTAAAGATAATGTCCCATGAAGATATTTTGTAAATTTCCTACCGTAAATATATAAAAACTTAATTTGTGATTAGTAATATGCATTACTAAGGACTTCATTTGGACAACTTTTTCTCAATATTTAGATTTTTTTTGCACCCTGATTCCAGATTTTCAAATAATTGTATCTCAGACAAATATTGTCCTATCCTAACAAACCATACATCAATGGAAAGCTTATTTATTAATTGAGTATAAATCTCAATGTAAAAAAAAAAGACCCGTATGACTGGTTTTGTGGTCCAAGGTCACATACAGTATATAAATGACAAAGTAGGGCTAGCAGTTACACTTTTCACTCGCTGGGTTCATTTTTGAAAGTCAGTTTCAAACCTTAAAGTCTTGAATGTAAAGTACATTTAAAAAATCACAAAACTCACTGTTATCTTCCACACAAAGACACTTTAATTTCATCACAAAGCATTGGCCAATTTATGACACCAGACCACAATAAGATACACATGGCAGCAGTAAGATTCACACGCACCCATTCCACTACAGAGTGGAGATTTTGGTGTTGCCCGCAGACCCCTCCATATACAGTATGTGTACAATCAGTTCATTTTCAATACAATGACTTCATTATCAATACTTAGTAAATGTACATGTCGACACAAGGCAACATAAGCACAACTCCCAGAGATGCACAACAAATATACATCAGCACAGTAACAGAATCTGTTCACCATATAATCAGTCAGAACAGATGCTATATTCATTTAAACTCATGTCAGGGTATGAAGGATTCTTGAATTTATTTATCAATAACATTTCAACCGCAGACCATTCTCTTTGGTCTGACATTTTCCACTACTGCATCAACAAATTAATAAATCGCATCAACTTGAAAGTATAAGTATAAACATAATTCTGAGACTTTTTTCATACCTGACACTTCATAATATATATATATATATATATATATATATATATATTCTAATATATGTACATTTCAATCAGACAGGACATATTAGTTTGCTAGGGAAAATACAAGAGACATATAACAAAAACAAACACTGTGGGATCAAATAACGTTCAAATTTTCAGGAAGAATACATTCACACACAGTACCACATAACAAGTGCAAAAATCGTGAAGTTTATTTTGTGTATCCGCTATTCTGTATACTGGCGTGCAGACAGGAATGTAAGCTTACACCTTTAGCTCGTGTGACACCTCTATATAGATCAAGTCGACATTGACTAGTGTGTAAACACAAACACCACACAGCATCTTCAGTATAATTAACATGGCAGTGACTTTGTATGTTGACAAGTCCACACTGGGCGTAGTATTCAGATGCCCATTACAATGTGATTAGTGTATATATTACAGACAGAGGGAATGAGCTTTCCCGCATTCTTCATTTATCTTTCTGACTTTTCTTTCAGCCACTTTATCCGTACTTGCTGCTGCAGTAACGTTCGGCATTCAGCAATCCCAGGATGCACTTGGTCAGAGGAAAAGCACAGAGAAAGAGAGGCAGTGGAGAGACAGAAAGAGAGGAGGAGGATGAGGAGGAAGGACTATTGGCTCTAAGAGTCAAATGAAGGATGTGGATTCTCACTGTGAGAAGGGCTTCCTTTGTTTGGACGGCTAAAAGACAAAAAAGAACAACAAATAAAACAAAAAAAAACGGAAAAAAGCTTGGGAAATGACAGCATGGATAGTAGAAAGAATGGGGTTGTCAATGTCAAGTGGGTATGATGGCTTGTTTTTGTTCACTTAAGTTAACTTTAGCACTTGTGAATGTAATGGTGATGACAAATGTGAAAAATATATAATATTTCTTTCTCTTTTTTTACATAGAATTTAACAGCTCCAGCTGTGAGAACATTAGTCTATATTTTTTCCATCTGCGGAATAATGCACGTGTGAGAATCATTATCGAGAAACATAATTATGCTCCAGCATTTTTTTAAAAATTTAATCCAGTTCTGAATATGCTTACATTTTTTTGTATGATTTACTGTTAACGCTTTTAATGTAAATCAATATCAGAAAGGTGCAATATAACATTCAGACATTAATAGGGACTATATTAAATCAGAGAATCTCAAAAACTTGTTAAAACGTGCTTATTATTAAACAATAAAATAAAATAAAAATCCAAACCGTTTTATATAAGGCAATATAAAAATCCTGAAGAGTAAGATGAAACTTGTTCATTGTTAAGAAATATGACTGCAACATAGAATTTAATGAAGCAGTAGGACAAGTAACATGTTTTTTTTTTTTTGCAGGTCACTTTTATTCAGGGGTTAAGAACTGGTCAAATGCTGGTTAAGGCTTAGTTGTTGCTAATAAAGTCAAAAACATGCCAGTGTCATCTAGCATCCATGTGCATAAATGTTGAAGCAAACTGTGAAATAGGCTGGAACATGGACAATCCCTGTGCGTTTTATAACTAGTGTTCTTCATTCCTAAATACAGGATACTGTATATGCTGGTAATGGAATACAATGGCATCACATCTGCGCTCATGTGAATGGTATACAGTTATTAGACCAATTTATAATATTCCTGGTGTATATTGTGTAAGAGTAAATACTCTTTCAAGTAAACATGTGATATGTTTGTGGACTGTGCTTGTGTGCATGCATGTGATACAGTGGCAGAGGGGTCAGTGTTTTCCTCTGTCTGCTGATCACCAGTGTTAATGCTCAGTGAGCGAGTCTCTGTTGGATCTGGTGGGGGAGGCTGGCGCTCTCCGACTTCAAAGATGACAACGGACAGATTAATGGACGCAGATGTATAAACAGGGGGAAAGACACACAATTAGGAACAACACAAAAGAACACGAAGACAAAGGCAGTAACAATGAACTCTAAAAAATGAACATATACTGTATGACACACAAGGTGGATTCATCAGAGATTCATGAACTACTAATGTCATGTTATTAAACACCTACAGGAATAATAAATCAGACTATACATTTATAATTTAGAATATTTAAAAATAATAATAAAACTTGGGATTAAAACTGTTTAAACCAATTCACCTGGGCTTGATGTTTCATGATAAACTATATGCAAGTTAGCAAAGCCATTACTGAACATTTGGCATGTTGTGAACAAGTCTCACAAATAAATACTTTCTGTAAAAAAAAAAAAATTAAGAAAGAAATTAAGCTAAATTATAATAATAGAAAAGTATCAGGAACACACATCACACAAAAACATAAACAGCATGCCATACACCAAGTATATGTCAAAAACCTATATGTGTTAAAAAGGATCTATATGCCCCAAGTTAAGTTAAATTAAATATAAAAATAAAACAAAATAATTGCATAGTCACAATAGTTCATTTATAATATACTTAAATACAACTATTGCTAAATTAAATATTAGTAAAAAATTATATATTATTAAATTATTATTTATTTTAAAACCATGTTAACTTAAATACAACTATTGCTAGAAACTAAATATATAACATACATTTAAGACTGAGTTGTTCAACCAGGTAACTCTTCCTTATAAAATTAATTGGCAGTTCTAAGCATAGTTTAAATTAGGACTTTAGAAAAATAAAATACTCAAACGAATTGACAGTAATAGACAGCCTGGTATACTCATATCTAGTGAATGACAGGTGTTAGGGAACAGCAGATGTTAACACATTTAAAGATAAACCATGCAAAGACGTGGTGATGTCACATAAGGACAATATGTCGGACATACCATTTGCGTAACTCCTCATTGGTCACTGATAGAAATTCTGAAACAATAACCGGAATCATTGTGGAAGGGATTTAGTGGGACTGAGTTTGAGGAGAACATGGGTCGACAGAAAAGAGGCAATGGGAGGAAGCAAAAATGTATCATCTCCATGGTTTGTCCCGTTTAACTGGTCAGTATTCCTCACAATTTCCTCCCAAACATGTATATCATGAGAGAATGATCTCACAAAGCTGATGCACTGATGTTACTATACAGTACAAACAATACATGAACTGAATGATTTAAAACAATGTTTGAATGAATATGCACATGGCAAGGAGATGGAGAAAGAAAACCAGCGTAGTTGAAAAAATGTGTGAGTGGTTTGTTAGTGCAGGTCTCTGAGTTGGACTGTGTGAGCTGAGAAAAAGTAATGGATTGTGACAGGCGAGAGAAGTAGAAATAGCAGGAAGAGTGTTACTGATCTGTCTTTCTTGTGTTAAAGACCAGGGATCAGGTCAGGGCAGAAGGGCTGTAAAGGGTGTAAATGGAGGGTAGTTTGTAGATCATTGCTCTCAACACCATTAATACTTGTATTACTCCCCACAGTACTCAAAACACATTCTATGGCCACTAGGCTGTATTTAATTCAATTAAATATTTCAAAGACCTCCTTTCATTTGCACGTGCACCATCTGAACAATTACACTGGAACATTATTACTTTTGTTTATATATCAGGTAGGTAATTATGTTTTGCACAATTACTGTATGAATAAACTTTCTCTCTGACTCACCTTGGGACACCTGGTGGGGCGCGGTTGGGACGAGAGGGGACCTGGGGCGGGGGGCCGCCGAAGGGGTCAGGAGAGGCTCCAGGTCTGGATGGCACAGGAGGTGCTCCAGCAGTAGGGGGTCCTGGGACGGTGCGTCCACCTGGACGAGGGGGCCCGGGTGGGGCCCGACGCTGGGGAGTGGGACTAGACATTGGAGATCTGTTGGGAAAATAAAAAGATTATCTATCTATCTAGCTATATAATTAACCATAAAAAACAAGGGTAGGGACTTTAAAACAACCAAAAACACAACTAAAATATTAACACTGGAACACAACTAAAATGTTAAAACATGCTAGCAACTTATAGAAACGTCTAACACATGCTAAAACATCTATTTGACAGATTGCATGGCCTTAAAGGATTAGTTCACACCAGAATTACAATTTTTCTGATAATTTACTCACCCCCATGTCATCCAAGATGTTCATGTCTTTCTTTCTTCAGTTGAAAAGAAATTAAGGTTTTTGAGGAAAACCTTTCAGGATTCTTCTCCATATAGTAGACTTCAACAGGGACCAGTTTGAAGGTCCAAATTGCAGTTTCAACGCAGCTTCAAAGGGCTCTACATGATCCCAGCCAAGGATTACTTTTCAACCACAAATCTTTTCCAACATGACTACATAATGCATGAAGTCGTGGACGTGCATCGCAGAGCTAGTGAAAGACGAGCATTTGTGGTTAAAAAGTATATAAATTTTCTTTTTTTCTTTTTCTTTTTTTAGAAAATGACCGATTGTTTCGCTAGATAAGACCCTTATTTCTTGGCTGGGATCGTGTAGAGCCCTTTGAAGCTGCATTGAAACTGCAATTTGGACCTTCAAGCTGGTCCCCTTTGAAGTCCACTATTTGGAGAAAAATCCTGGAATGTTTTCCTCAAAAACCTTAATTTCTTTTCGACTGAAGAAAGAAAGACATGAACGTAAAACATCCCAATTTCCAGCTTTTACAATTATTTCAGTCTTAAAACTACTTAAAATCTCAAAACTTTTTATGTTTTTAAAACAACTTTGATCTTAAAACTACTTTAAACCATAAAACTTAAACAGGCCTATTAAGACAATACCAAACAAATATTAAAGACCTCATGAAATCAAAATCAGTGTTTGTGAACAAATTATGGTTTAACTAGGCTAGGATAACGTAAAGGCAATTGGCTATTCAAAAATGATCTTACATTTCACCTCAATTTCCTGTTTCAGTATGAAATACTGAACAAATGAAAAGCCATATCATTAAAATTCTTAATTAAAAAATAACTGTACCCTGAAACTCACATCAAAACATTGCTTATTTAATAAACATTTCTGACACAGTACCTGCGCCCTGAAGGTCCTCCTTGTACCTGCAGCCAGGAGTCATCCACCGGCGGGGGCATGGCAGTGGAGACTGTGGTGGTGCTGATGTCCCCGATGATGTTGAGGGCCTCTTTCAGAGCGTGGTACATGCGCAGCATCTCCTCCCTGTGCTGAGCCTGATCTGCTGACTCCTCCATCAGAGAGTTCTGGTCTCCACATGAGTACAAGTTAGCCAGCAACTCAGCATGGATGAATTCCTTAGTCTATGGGAAGAGGAAGTAAGGAAGAAGACTAAGAAAATGTGCCGTGCCAGCTGTATTTGCCTGGAACTGCAGGTCTAAGAAACATTACAAACGTACATTATTCTTATTTGATAGCAAACATCATGGTAAACACAGCTTACGTTGTTGATCATGAGATGCATGATTGTCTTGGGCATGAGGTCCCGCACAGTCTTGTTGACAATGGCCATGTAGGAATCCACAAGGTTCCTGATGGTCTCCACCTGCCTCTCAAGCTGAGGATCCATGGAGTGCGTGAAGCCATCTGAGCCGTTCTCCTCACTAGCATCACTCTGCTGAGGACGAGCAGCACATAATGATATTCACATATTACTGGGGCTAATAAAATTAGGGACACATTGAGGAACAAAGAGTGGAATAATGAAGCAAATTAAATCCTATCACTAGATCACAGTTGATTTGATCTCTGTACTCAAAAGTCAACCAGTGGTGGAGTTTACACCATCATTTTGTTAAATACAACACATACTGATATTCGAAGAGGAATATGTTTGCATATGACAGATTTGGAAGAGAGAAAAATCAGTCAGAGGAAAAACGTACCTTCTCTTTATCCTGCAGATGTAGCAAAGAAAGCACAATAAGTTAATTAAGTTAGTAAGCTATCAGTGTTTGTTAGAATTGCATTGGTGACTGGTTATACATGTGGTAGCTGTTGCAGCACAGTAATGAGTTAATAAGTTAATATGACTGAGAGATGATCAGTGGAAGCATTCACGTACAGTGATGCGCTCTGGGTAAACTCCAGCTCGTAGGAAGGATGCCTTCCAGCTGTCCACTTCCTCCTGAGTGTCGCAAGCCAACTCAAGCTGCCTGTAGTCTTTATACACGTTCCTGAGACAACAGTCCAACAACATGCATGAGCAATGAGTCATATTGTGTTTACGAAATAAAAAGGACCAGACAATAGTGCCAATGTAGATGAGATGTAAAAAAAAAAAAAAAAGAGATGTAAATTGTATAAATGTGACCCTGGACCACAAAACCAGTCATAAGTAGCACGAGTATAATTGTAGCAATAGCCAACAATACTTTGTATAGGTCAAAATTATCGATTTTTCTTTTATGCCAAAAATTATTAGGATATTAAGTAAAGATCATGTTCCATGAAGATATTTTGTAAATGTCCTACCGTAAATATATCAAAACTTAATTTTTGATTAGTAATATGCATTGCTTAGAAATTCATTTGGACAACTTTAAAGGTGATTTTCTCAATATTTAGATTTTTTTGCACCTTCAGATTCCAGATTTTCAAATAGTTGTTTCTCAGCCAAATATTGTCCTATCCTAACAAACCATACATCAATGGAAAGCTTATTTATTCAATTTTCAGATGATGTATAAATCTCAATTTTAAAAAAATTGACCCATATGACTAGTTTTGTGGTCCTGGGTCACAAATCAGTATTAAATTATTATATAATTTTTTTTATTATAAATGTTTATTATATGTGTTAATGTTTATTATACATGCACCTAATCAGCATATTACAAGGATTTCTGAAGGATCATAAGACTGGATTAATGAAGCTGAACATTCAGCTTTGCCATCATAAGAATACATTACACTATATATTCAAATAGAAAACAGCTATTTTAAATTGTGTTAACTTAAGAGAACTGTAGCGCTCAAAACTGGAAAAAATAAATCTTTTTACTGCAGGTGCGTAGAGCCAATGGAAAACTTGAAAATGAACAAGGAGGCTAGCTGCACACTGAATCCAGTTCAGATGGGAAAAGTCTACTAAAACAAACTTTTTATTTTATAAATTGCACCGTGCAAAAAGTGCAGAGTGCATGCAAGTTAAAAACGAATGGACATGAACAAGCAGACCTTTCAGCGCATTGCTATTGTTTTTAACTCACATGCGCTCTGCACTTTTTGCACGATGCAATTTATTAAAAAAAAATAAAATAAAATTTAGACTTTTCCAGTCTGTATTGGATTCAGTGTGTGGCTAGCCACCTTCTTGTTCAGTTTATATTCAGAATAATTTTGCATTAAGTATAATAATGCATTTCTTTATTTTTGAAAGCTCTGCAGTGAGTAAAATATTTTCTCTAACCTTTGTTCGGTGTTAAAGAGAGCAAACACGTGCTTGCTGGACATGAAACTCTTCTCTATATCTCTGAGCTTCAGGTTGTCCAATGGCAGCATGTACTTCTTCTCTTTCTCCTGCAGAGGGCAATGAGCACAATTAAAAAGTTAATAAAACAAAGCAAAAGAGAACACTACAAGATCAGGGACTGCCTACTGAAGAGTTGTAGTTGCTGAACCTGTATGTCCTTAAACTATATGGCAAAAGCAGAATACAATACTTAAACTGCTAGCCTAGCACTCTTTTATGAGCGCATAAATCTGTATGAATATGTTTAGAAATTCAGAGGAATTAAACAACAGTTAGTGATTACATGTCGGTCCCATCAGCTATAACACTAAAGGGTTAACAAGTACTTGTGTGAGAATTGATTCCACACTGGAAGCCTGCAATGGCACACTAAGTATCATGATTTATGACTCGCACACTTAATCAGCAACACACCAGCTGGAGATGGAAATCCTGTATAAAGTGAATTAAACTGCTCTTAAAGATTAAAGTATGTGTTTTTCTCAGATACCTAAAGGGGACAGAAAAAGGTTGATTTGTCATTCTGATTGATGCTTATCCCTTTTGAATACAAAAGTGAGAGCAGAGAGATGACACAATGAAGCGTGTAGGAGGAGGAGAGGGAGTGAAGATGAAAACACTTGCATGTTAACAGTGTGAAGCATCCACATATTAGAAAAGTAGCCTAACCTACTTACAAACCACCAGAGGAATGCATTTCAGCATCAACACAAAATGATCTGTATATCAGCTATACTTAACAACACTTTATGTCAGTACTCTATTTTAAAGATATGATATAAATATAAAAAAGTAGCAACAATATTCACATTTATATCAGTTATTGTTGTGGCAAATAAAACCGTGTGTGGCCTCTTTAATTAACATTTATTTCAATTTAAGGACTCAAAGTCTCAATGTGGTGTAAAGACATGAAATATAAATGTAAAGAATATTTTTCACGGATAGTCCAACTTATAGCTATACACTAGCTGCTGTAAAATATAGTGTAGCTTTCATAAATAAGATCCATTTGGAGTAATGACGTAGTGCAACAAGTGCTACATTACTGTTTTTTAAACTCACGTGTGAAAGGGTTCATATATTTTATATATATTTGCATCTGAAAGAACTAAGATAATAATCAAACACGTAAAAAGACAGTAAGTATAGTGAATTGCTTTGTTCAATCAGATAATCAGTAATCCGATTTTTTTATTGTTCCTTTAAATAGCTTTGTTGTAATTGTAGAATCTTGTCTTATCACTTTCTTTAAAAAGGGAACCTGTACTATAGTTTAACTACTTTCAATTATTAGTAACTTGTAGCATAAGGATTTAGTTTAATCTCATCCCATTCCTCATCTCTGTTTTCTTCATGCAGTCTTCTCTCAGCCGTCCGCTCCCCCCCAAAAACATAAAAAATCAAAAGAAGACAGTACCTCTCTTAGACCAGCATTCATAGTCTATGGTTCAATAATTTACCCTGAAATGTATGATAATTTTCCTCCACTGCACCATATCCAGAATTAACAGACTTTAGAGAGACTCCCAAGTCTGGGGAAACAAAAACGTTGAATCATAAAATCACAGAGGATGCCTGTGTATGTAAAATTCAGGAACAGAACTTAAGTATTTGCTTTTTTAGTCTATGATCATTACACATGTTTGGCACATGCGGGCACCAAACTTTAAATTATAAAGTTGACTGTACCAAGGCTATGATTAATTTAAAGAGTAAACATATTCTATTTGTATTATCATTAATATCACGAATCAAAATAAATCAGTTTGACAGTTATTTTTTTCAGCTGTGAAAAGATGTACATTTCAATTGGAACCTCTTGTTTCTTTGATCAAAAATATAAATACTACAAACACTTATAAACATGTCACTGATATATAAGGTAAGATATTAACTAAGGTATTTCTGCTGTAATTATGACAAAGCCACTGGTATTTCCAATGTTCTTATGAACTGGGAGTGTTAATATATTAATTAACCACAAATTATTTTGTGATTCTATACACTTCAAAAAAGTAATATTAACGAACAAAGAGCAAAACTAATCATTTGTTACATTATCTAAGAATCTTTGTTTACATTAGTTAGTAAAAGTACAAGTTAGAAAACTGTTCATTGTTAGTTCAAATTAGCTCAGGTCCATTAATATCAACAGATATAACTTTTGATTTTATTAACGTGTTAGTAAATGTTGCAATTAACATTAATTAAGATTATTAATTAGTAGTTCATGTTAGCTAATGTAGTGAACGTTAACAAATGGCAGCTTATTGTAAAGTATTACTCCATTTTATTAATAATAATATATAAATCAGAATTTCATCCTGCGGCCCCAAGTTTGTGAGTCCCGCGCACCTTGGTTGAGAACAAATGATTTAAATTAACATCCATTTTTATTCTGTACTGTACATTACAATGTTTTTACACCTTAATGCACTTACAATAATTTCCAGAATTTAATATATTCCAAAAAAATACCAATTTTAAATTGTCAAAACCGAAGAATGTACGAATGTAATCTACAAATAGCCTTCCATTGTAACTGCATTGCTGTAAACACTTTTGCTTGTTTTTACAAACTAATGAACGAGTCTAAATGATTGTCTGTGGTAATCGCCAGCAAGCCAAATATGCTGTCGATAGAGCTGACCTTATCTTGAACTCAGAACATTCCTTTAACAACCTCAGAAATTCAGATCGATTTTCAAACACAAGGCTTCAGAACCGCTGACAGAGCAGACGGTGTTGTCTTGTGACAATAAACGTTCCATCTAAACTGCCAGTTTCAGAGATTAATGTCCACAAAAACCATTCTAAGGGGAGCCCCCGGCCCCAAGGACGGATCAAACGGCGTGAGGATGATTAATGCCTCTTGTTTGTAGGTCACCACCATGTCACCATCTCCACATTTAATAAGAACCCGCCTGCATTTCAGAGGAACATTCTGTGGTGAGCCTAAACTTCAGCCCTAACTTCCGAAGCACCTCGTCTACAGGAGTGTTTTAAAACACGAAAATGCATGCGTGTAATCGTTAGGGGGGTTGTAAGCCAGTATAAAGAGCCCTTTATCCAGTACGAGCAGAGGAAGTGAGCTTCAGAATAAATATCAGCATGAAGAGAGGTACAGACCACAGGACTACACATCTGGAGATATTACAATTCCATCTCCATGCCAAGAAACTCAGTCAGCAACACCACCCACACCTTCACACACACACACATAAACACACACAGATGTCAGAAATACATCTCAAAGCAAATGTTGAGTCTGACAGGTCTTCATCAGTACCAGCTTTCCTCATCTTACTCTTTTGTGACCTCTGTGACCTTTCACTTCCTGTTTAACAAGAAAAGAAACATAAAATTAAGGCGGGGGGAAAACAGAAAAAAAAGCTCCACCTCTTTCTCTCCCTCCTTTCAGCTCTTCCCGGAATCAAAAGTCTGCCACGTCGATTCTGAAAAATCCACATTTGAAAGTATGAAAGACGCTGTGTTTTACAAACGAATTTTTGCGATGCAAATGCTGCATATCTTATCATTTTGTATATCTGTTTTCAAAGACTCTGCTCCTAATCTAAGATGGATTTTATGAGTCGATGGGGGTGAAAGGGCCAGGAAACCCAATGCTTCTTGCCACCCACATTCCTCGCCTTCTCGTACCACCATCAAACACTCAAGAGGTTTTAAAAGACCCTCCTCTCGTCCTCCTCCCCCACTCACCTACCACTCTTTTGGCATCTCACACACTTGGACGTCCAGAGAAAAAGAGAGACAGAAGGAGAAAAGGAAGGATGAAGGTTTTCGGAGGACAATCGGAACATCTAATGCCAAATCTGATTGGCACAGATGCACAAACTTTGAGGTATTTCTTGTCCCTTTGAAGTATTTATCGTTTGCTTATGGTAGAAACAGATCTGAAAGTCTGAAGTTAAGGAGGGACAATGGGCTAGATAGATATTATCACACATCTAAGCAAACTGAAATGGATATATGAACTAAAATATATCAATAATAGATGTTATATTACCGCAACAGCATTTGAGAGGAAATTCGAAATCAATGGTCAATAATAAACATTAATTTTCTCATCTCCTATTTTCCACGCTCACTTCCAAAAAAACATTTGGATAACGAAACATTTGCTTGTGTGAAAGGGTGTGGTGTTGTTTAATGTTGTGTACACATTCATTCCTTAGTGCTGTTGGACTCATCTCATCTCCCCGTGAAGCGTCATACCCGCCCCGCTTTCCCAGTGTTCAGACTACCTGTTCAGGGCATAGAGATTGTACAGTAGTCTGCACATTGGTTAGGCTGTGTGGGGGGTGCACACACATCAACTAGTTGTGTTCATCAACAGTCTCGTCATCATGTCTCTATACGTCTTCCCATGGAAATGTGCATGCCTTCATGTGCAAAGTAATGTCATGAGGTTAGAAACCTCCTCTGCAGAAAAATCAATTAAGTTATGCAAATAACTAAGTTAAACAAATAATGCTTATCTGTTTATTCATGTTTATTTTTTGTTTTTTACTATACTTTTTTAATTCTATAATAAAATAAAAAAAAACTCTCACTCTGTTTTCATGTTTTTATTTTAAAAAAAATAATAATATATATATATATACATATATCTATCTATATAGTACATGTGTGTTTTTCATTCTAAATAATAAGAGTAATAAATACTTTATTACTCTTCTATAGACATCTAATGTTTTTTTTATAATGATAATTGATATATATGTATATATACCATTATATATAACACAACAGATGTCTATAGAAGAGTAAACGTAGAAAGAAAGAAAGAAAGAAAGAAAGAAAGAAAGATTTTACTTGATGGAAAGCGAAATGATGATTTGACGGAAAATAAAAGTCTTTTCTCTGAATATAATTGTCATTGTTTGGACTCTTATTTCATCCACTTGGACCACAAGGAAATTGTTTTGGCATAAGCAGGACATAACTGTGGTTTTTAAAAATGAGGAGATTAAATGAAAAACAATTATATACCAAATGGATATTTTTTTCTAAACAGTAAGTCATTTTGGACCAGGAACTCCTTTGTTTTAAAAAGACTTTCTCTGCATGCTTAAACTAACTAGAGTGAGTTCTTTTGGGAAGTGTTGGACCAAAATCTGGTATGTATGGTAATGAAAACCATATGCCACCTTCCCAACCCCCAAAGCAGCCCTCCCACCAGCCCCTGGTCTGCTTCTCCTCATGCCTCCGGTCTGGACTGACAGTGGGGGTAGGGCGGGGGTCACAACGGTACCGTAACACCTGTGCTTGATCAGACCGCCAAGACAGCAAAATGCCTGGCCATTACGGAAATAAGAAACAGAACCAATGCACTCATTTATACTGTATGACCTCATTCGTCTCAATTCTCTTTTCTTGGATTCAATGTTGCGGTGCATTTACAGCATGGGTTACTGGTAGGATAAGATGCTTTCATTGTGAAATAGACTAAATATAGCCTTACTTCTGGTGGAAATAATACTAAAATACAGAGCCCAGAGTATATGAAAAAAAAAACAAGGCTGCTCCAGGGTGACCGGCCCCGTAGAGATTATACTGTGAGTTGCTTCAGATAAATGAAAAGCAACTAAGAAGAAATGGAGGGCACTCACCTCATCATCTTTGTACCAGGACAGATTCTCAGCGGTCAGGACAAACCAGTATTCCTTGGCTCCTCCTTTCATGATGCCAATATTATTGATGGTCAGCCAACCCTTTCTGATCACCTAGACAAAGGCAAACAAATGGGATGTAGAGGATAATGTACTGTTAGTCTTTGTTATACTTATCAAATATAGAAATAAATGGACAAGAAATCAATAATGAAAAGGAACTTGCACTGCTATGTAGGAAATCATTTGGGACAATGACCAATTATGCAGTTTAATGATCATTTTACAAAAATATCTGAACACAGAATGCTGTGATTGACCAATCAGAATCAAGTGTTCCAGAACCCAATGTATTGTAATAAATTTGAAAACAATGTGTATGCGATTGTGGGATTTCACAGAAGAACAAATTAAAAGATCATTGCAAATACAGTAGGGTCCAAAAGCCTGTAACCATTAGTTAAAAACCTATGCAATTAAAAACATTTGGGGAAGAGTAAGATTGTTTAAATATTTATTCAGAATTGATCTCAGTCAAAATGATGTCAAACAAATACTGTTCTTTTCAAGCAATCATAAAAATGTATCATGGTTTCCACAAAATAAATATAGTAAAACAGAAAACAGTTATTTTAAATTGTAATAATATTTCACAATATTGCTGGTTTTACTGTATTTTTGGTAAAAGAAAATGCAGACTTGGTGAGCATAAAAAAAACATATAAAAGTTTTATACTATTAAAAATACACATAAGATAAAAGTTGATAACTTATTAAAAATAAAGATGACAAATAATATGATCAGCATTTCAATTTAAATAAATTAGATTCAAAATCTAAATGAATTTCACAGTTTTTTTGCATTTGGTATGCTTTTTAAAACTCTTTATTTTCAGGTGTAAATGTAAAAAATCAATTTCTCTGAATTTTCTACTGTAATTGACTAATGTACGCTTTCAGGCTTTACTGTCATTACATCAGGAAGACTTCTTTTTACCCGAAGTAACCTAGAGTGCATTCAAGGTGTATTATATTTGTTCAGAACATTTGTTCTCTGAGAAACGAACCCATGAACGTCACGTCTCTAGCAGATGAGCTGCAGCTCTCAGGAGTGCAATGGGTTTCCACTGGAAACCTTATTTAGCTCCACAGCAGCCTCTCCTCTCCAGTGCAGTGGCATGGTGCAAAAGCATTCAACTTTATCGGAAAAGGTCAGGATTAATTAATTATCATAAAAAGCTATTTGTGTTTTTGTTTTAAACAAATACACCATAATGAGGACCATAATAATCAACATGCAATGCTATTTTTTCAAATCCATTTTATATTAAAAGGCCAAAGTGCATTAGCAGACACAAAAACACACACACACACACCAAAGAGGTCAATGCACACTTACCATTATCTCATCCTGAGGCGCGTTGGCATAGCAACAGTAGCAAAGCAAAGACAGGGTTTAAGATAGGTAATTATAAACTGGAACAGACAAGATGTACAGAACACAAAAGTAGCAGAAAGATGCTAGGATAGTTCACAGCACTAACACAAGACATACAAAAAACCTAAACAGAACATGCTGTAAGACAATTCATGATATCCATGATGAATAACAACAGATATCTTGATACATATATTTAGAAATTTAAAAACTACTGGAAAATGCTTAATAAAATTCAGTCTAAAACAAAGGTAGGCCTATCATGCTCTTGAAGCTTTTTTTGTTTGTTTGTATGTTTTTTGCAAGAGTCATGCAAGTTGCAAATAAACAGATTACATATTACTTCACATATTACATATCATTTCTTATATTTTTATTAATTTAATTCAAATAGTTTTGTCCTGCTCTGCATAGTTTTAAAAGCTAAACAAAAAGTGGGGTTTCTCTCTTTTTGACAGAAACCTCTCTATCATACATTTCTTCAGCTTCACATTTTGGATGTAGCCATCCATGCTATACTAGAGGATATATGTATCAGATATACAGTAACTGCATGGTCAATCTAGATGTTATTTAATAACTGATTAGGAACTGAAGAGTTCATTTGCAAAAACAGATAACTCCGCTCTTAAATTTAAGTTTTTTTTATCCTGCATTCCCATTAATATCAGTCAAACTGCAGTTGGGTTGTTTTGATTAAATAATGATAACTAAAAAAATACAGCTAACTAACACAATAAAACACATGATTTATAAAAATTAATAAAAACTGAGTTATCTACATGTGATTCATGTTTGCCAGCGGCTAATGAAGCACTTTTTTCAACCAGGCTCTTCCTAATTAGTTCTTACTTTTTAAAGAGCATTTTACAAAACAACACCAACCACTGTTCTCAATAATTAAAATCTCATAAAATGACAGAGACTGAATGATGCAGTGTCCAATTATAGACCTGCGTCTGCTGTTCCTACATAAGTAATGTTTGAGTGAGGCAGCAAACATCTGTCCAGGCTGTGTGAGGATGCACGCAGGACGCAACATCTGTTCATTCTGGCTTGTGCTTACCTGATTGCCAGCAGCCTTCTTCTTATTCATCTGACTGCTTCTCTGCTGGGCACTGAAGTGATACACAGAAGAAAAAGAAGAAGAAGAAATATCTATAAAGAGCACAAAATGACTGAAACTTATGGATATCTAATAGCTTGAATTTTGGGGGTCATTGCCAAAAAAACAGATACTGGAGTCACCATCTGACTTCTTAACATGACCTCCTAAGGGCTGGAATACACTACAGATTTTAAAAAAAAAACTAAACATTATGCACTTGCCAACTTTGGTTTCATGCACTAAATGACTGACAATCACACACTATGGCTTTTAAGTCATTCCCAACACAACAAACTCTCACAGAAACTTGACTCACTTCTAAGAGATGAATGATAAATTAAAATAATATGTGCTCTAAAATCGGCTCAAATTATGAAACATTTCATCACATTTAGGATGTCTATTTGAATCAGTCTGTAGGTCTACTGTGCATATCTAGGGATCACAGAGGACACAATCTCTGTCTATCATCACCGCGCCTTTGAAAAAGGCTCTCATTTAATGATGGTTCTTCTGAATTGCTCTACAGAAAGCATTCATTGAATGACATTTTCAGTATTAGTTTCAATGAGCCTGATGATCTCCTCACAGTTATGTTGGAGTGTTCTAGCTGTTTGCGTTTTTAAGTGACAAACAATAATGCTAGTAAATGGTTAACATTGTTCTTACTTTGCAAAACCGATGAAATCCTCATGATTGGTGTTCATGTATGCTAACTCGATGTCAATTAGCAACATGACCTAATGGCAGGAAAAGAATACACATGTAACTACTTATTTTTCAGTTGAAGCTGTAGCTTGGTTTTACCACATGAGTTTGTATACAGTATGTGAGGGTTAGCAGGTACCTGATTCTTGGTGCGACTCTCTCGATCTCGGATGTGCTGGGTGACAATCCTCTCCATTTCCTCTCTAAGCATGGGGTACTGAGCCAGCTGTCCCCAAAAAAAAAACACATACTGGATCAACTACAACAGCTGAGACAATAAGCGGGGCTTATTGTTCAAGCAAATCTTATTACTGCAGACAAATGGACAAGGGATTTCAGTGATTATCAGTTCATGAATGGAGCTCACGGAAAAACACGGATATTCACCCCCCAATTAAAAATAATAAATACTTATATGCACGAAGACAATGAAGCCTAATGTAAAAATAATCATTTAATTGCTGGAAAAGAGTTTTGCATTATTTAGCTGAGAATTAACCAAATCCCCCATGCCCATTCTCATTACTACAATGTGTCTCGATTTTTTATTTATTTTTTATAAATGAAATGTATTCTGGGAAATGCAATATTTTACTATTTAAACAATGTATATTTCTAAGAACTTTTTGTGTGCCACAATTCAAACATAGAAAAAAATATTATTTTTGTTTAATTAATTGAATTTAACTACTTTCTTAAATTAATCAATAAAAAAATGTAAATATTTTTATTCAGGGATTAAATATGACCTGTACATGTTCTTGACACAGGCTAAAATTCACTCAAAGTGGCATCATATAGGGTTGATCAAATTAGCATTTTGATCAGGCTCCTATTTGTAGGTTCAGCAATATCACTTTAATGGCAATGAATAGGTTCTTTTCTTTGAAAAAATTTTAGAAGAAAATTTCAGATGGCACTTAGAGGCTTTTGCATCTGAACTCTTCATATATGGAAAATTGAAACATGAATTTGGTGTCAGTAAGATTATTTAATGTTTTTGAAAAAAGTCGCTTACCCAAGGCTGCATTTATTTGATCAGAAATAAAGTGAAACACTATTAATGTGATTACAATTTAAAACCACAATGAAACCTTTTTCCCCTACTTGCATAGAATGTAATATAATCCTGTGATGTAAAAGCTCCAGTCTTCTGTAATGTTTTTATTATTTATTAGCTCTAAAAAGGGGAATATTTATGATGAATTATAACTGTCAACGCTCATGCATGATCCTACGCAGACGCTACACTTCAGTGTCACATGATCCTTTAGAAATCATTCTAATATTCTGATTTGGTGCTCAAGAAACATTTCTTATTATTATTACTGTTAAAAAAAGTTGTGCAGCTGAATAAGTTTGTGGAAAACATGATTCCAAAATGTTTCTAATGTGTCCTGTTTCTAAAGAACAGCATTTATTAAAAATAGAAGTATTTTGTGACATTCTGATCAAATGAATGCTTTCTTGCAGAATAAAAGTATAAATTAAAAAAAAAAGTACTGACCCCAAACCTTTGAATTGTAGTGTATGTGAAGCTGTGGGGTTTTACCTTCTTGGTGCACTGCCTGACTGTATTGACCAGCTCAGTGATGACAAGGTCCACACATTTCTGACATGGCTCTTTGATCTTTGCAATCTGCCGTTTAACAATAGTCTCGAAGGCCATGTCTGGAGTAAACAGACCGGTTCTGACAAGTGAAAGGGATGAACAGAGCAGTCAGAGATCTAAATGATGTGCTTTACAGTTGTTTGTCATTGCAATTCATATTTCATGGCATGGTTCTCATTGTACAGTACTTTAAATCCAGCACGCAGTAGCTCAGAATGTCACAGTAACATCAAAGCGAGTTTGATCTCAGAGCAGGATAGCTGTTGAATGTGTGTGACTGTGTTTGTCTGGGGTAGAGGCAGATGCACACCTGATACCGTGGATGTTCTTGATGGCGTAACTGATCTCCTTACGCAGCTCTTTCTCATCAAACTCCATCTAGTCATCATTAGCAGACACAGAAACACCTACTTGATATAATTTGAGAGGATATACTGTAATTTTGCTCTTTATGATGAAATTACCTTAACCAGCTCAAAGGGGAAGCGCTCATGAAAGATGCGATTGATCCTCGCACCTCCAGACAGCTCCACTGTGTCCACCTGATCTCCTGAACCCTCGATGCATTTCTCAAAATCCACTGCAAACTGCTGCACCATCCTTTAAACCAGAGAACAGTGTTTTATGTGCGAGTCACAGATTCAAACCTTCAGACAGAAACACACACACATGTATAATGATAAACTCCTGTTCAAACGTTTGGGGTCAGTAAGATTTTTTATGTTTTTTTAAAGAAGCCTCTTATGCTCAGAAATATTATGAAATATTATTACATTATTATTATGATTTAAAATAACTGTTTTCTTAGGCTCTAGCTCCCCTCGTGACCCTGCAAAGGGTTTTTAATATACTTTAAAATGTACTTTTTAAAGTACATTAAATGTTCTCATACACTTTTTTTATTTTGGTATCCTTTAAAATGCCTTTTATTCCTCTGAAGGCAATTCTGAACTTTGCTCATTTTCAGGGTTCAAGACTTCTTTTATTATTTTTTCAGGATTCTTTGATGAAAAGGAAGTTTGAGAGAACATCATTTATTTAAAATAGAATTCTTTTGTAACATCATAAATGTCTTGTCACTGATCAATTTAATGAATCCTTGCTGAATAAAAATATTCATTTCTTTTGACACCACCAACAACAAATCTTTCAAAATCTGACTCCAAACTTACGTGCATGGGCTGTAAGTGTTCAAATGTGCAATACATATCAGACTCACTGTAGCAGAGCCTTGGTTTTGCGAGAAGGATCATCAGGGCGGAAGTGCTTGTACTCCTCCACCTCTTTCTCAATGGACAGTAGCTGGCTCTGAAGTTTGTTCCTCAGTCCTGGCAGAGTGTCTCGGATGTGGTTAGTTAATTGCTAAATGAGAACAGAAACCCTTGGTTACTAGTCAGAATCTCTCTTACAGTAAACATGATTTGTGTTTGTTTATAAATAAAAATATACAGTACGTATGGCTACATTCTTCTTTATCAAAATGGCAGTGGGGTATATAAAAAAACTATATAGAAAAACAATTGCATGAGTGACTCTCGCTGTCATTCAACCTGGTTAAGAACTTTCTGCAGGTACGGAGTCCCCATGCGATCGGCCAGGTGACGGTAGGCTGGGTGGGTGAGGAAGAACTTCCTCTCCGCTGCTATTGCAACAGTGATGTCCTTCTTGCCATCAATGTCCTTCTGACTGCGGTTCACAACCCCAATGTAGCCTACAGGGAGCATCCAGTTTGACATTGTTACAAACAATCAGCATGACCAAACGTAGCACACTGGACATAGTCAACAAATAACTTTGAACCCATTATCTTTCAGAAAATGTAGACGTATAGCTGTTAAATTACTTTCACAAGGTGGACTATCCCACATTTTGATTTAATAAGCTCTTAAATGTAAAGTTATGAGGAAATAAATGGAAACATATATTAGTAACTGCATTTGGAGAGTAAATGGTAAAATTAAGTGTAATTTTATGTGCTTTTCAGTGAAGAGAAAGACGTGTTGGCGTTTAATGTTCAGTTATGATGAAGTTCGGTTATTATGGATGGCTACATGATGACCATGATGTGTGTTGCGTCAGTTAATAAGCAATAACAGCATTAATGCCAGTACTGAGACCAATCTCTTCCTACCTGCTCATCTGATATTGCATATAGTAACAATACATGTAATTTTCTTTAGCACGATATTGCTTGCTATTGTCTAAAATAATAACATAACTTAAATCCAGCAAGTCATTTGTTTAAAAGAACTTGTTTTAGTCTTGTATATGTATAGAAAAGTTTTCCTTAAAGGAGACATATTATGCCCCTTTTTACAATATATAATATACTGTAAGTCTCTGGTGTCCCCAGAATGTGTCTGTGACGTTTCAGCTCAAAATACTCCACAGATCATTTATAATATCATTTTGCCTATCCAAGAAACACACTGTTTTTCGCGCCTGTCTCTTTAAATGCAAATGAGCTGCTGCTCCCCGCCCCCTTTTCCAGAATAAAGCTGCCTTTACAGCTCCTATCTGCTAAAAACATCTGTTTTGGTTCTGATTATCATGTTTATCTCGCTGAAATCATGCGTTTTAAACCTTATGAGTTTAAACTTCTGATATACGGTTTTCTGAGTGCACACATTCGAAGCACACGGACAGAAAGCGGCTGTCACAACATGTGAGTACTAAACTAAGTTCTCATTCACACACAAGTTTACGTTAAAAACACACATGAGTTACAAAAACAGTCGGTTATGTCTGTGAAGGTAAACTGCTGGGAAATAAATCGCAGGTTTATTTTAGATCTGTGTGGCAGCAGCAATATACAGTCAATAAATCAATAAATCCACTGCTGTCTTGTCTCCTCTGAGGCTGGGACTCTAAATAGTGTTCTGTGCTCGTCTGTGCAGCCAAAGACAGAACAGTTAGCATGTTTTGCTCAAACTTTCGCCATGGCATTAGAGCTGGTACACCGTTGTCACTTGCAAAAACACAATGACTGTGCTGTGGGTGTATTACATTTACAGATTAAGGGGCGGTAATATTATAATGGGATCCCTTTGCCACGTCACCAAGGGAGCGAAATCAGACGCACTCCTTTTCTCAGACGCATGCAGAAAAAGGCTTACCAAAACAAAGTTACTGGGTTAATCTTTTTCACGTTTCCTTGGTTGGTAGATGCACCGGGGACCTGATTATAGCACTTAAAACCTGGAAAAGTCCGATTTTCATGATATGTCATTTTTAATTTAAATAAGTTCATTGAATAAACTAGTCTAATTTTAACGGGACGTGTGTTATCTAGAAAGGAACTGGGTAAATAGAATATGCTATGTGACAAGTAATCAATAATGTTATAACAATGTTCTCTGCTGGTGGAATGACCTGCCCAACTCGATCCATCCATATCTTTAGCCATCTTCAAGAAATGGCTAAAGATACGTCTCTTCCATCTACACTTGACCCTCTAACACTAGCACTTTCTATTCTATTTCTATTCTATTTCCATATTTTCTTTTATTTATTATGAAAAAAACTTGACCCTCTAACACTAGCACTTTCTCTTCTATTTCTATTCCATTTCCAAATTTTTGCTTTTATTTATTATAAAAAAAACTTGACCCTCTAACACTAGCACTTTCTCTTCTATTTCTATTCCATTTCCAAATTTTTGCTTTTATTTATTATAAAAAAAACTTGACCCTCTAACACTAGCACTTTCTCTTCTATTTATATTCTATCTACTTTTTTTCTTTTTTATAAAAAAAAACCTTGCTACGTGTACTGCATTAGACTAATCGGGATTGTCACAGCACTTGTATATTGTTTCTCTTTTGTTGGTTTGATTGCTCCTATTGTCCTCTTTTGTAAGTTGTTTTGGATAAAAGCTTCTGCTAAATGATTAAAAGTAAATGCAAATGTAATGTGAATAATAGGGGAGAAAGGTCATCTACAGTATAAGTGCAGAAAGAATAGCAGCTGCTAAAATGCACTGGCAGACTTAGACTTAATAGAGCATCAAAGGCTTCAAAAGCAAAAATGTCCTCTACAGAAGATTTCTCCCTGAAGTGTGTTGCAGGTTTAATAGCCATCTTTTGCTCTCTTGGATCTTTTGAGGTGTTTTTGTGTCTGAGTGCCCTTATAGATAAATAAATATATAAATAAATGCCTGACCTCTTTATACATTTTGCATTTGGCTTTCAAGAGACCAGACACATTTATTTACCATTCAGTGGTGAATAAATATGATTTATCATCAGTAATCAGAATTGGTAAAACTGTCCTCCTAAATATTTGATATGCTTGATGCTGCTCTGCTGTACTCCATTACACATTGCTCTGTATGTTATTAGGATGGTGCAAAATAAGCTGGAAGCAGTTACGCATTAAATATTTATCTACGGTTTATAACAGAAATGTTAAATTTTTAACAGTAACACCAAAAATTACACATTTTGTCAAATTTTGCCATTTTAAATGTAAAATAAATAATTTGTGTGATTCAAGAAAATTCAGTTTGTAATTGAATGTGACAAGACAAGAAACATTAACTTAGTCGTTTTCAGCATATTAGGCATAAGAGTGACTGTGGATACTGTGAATATATTTAAATGAACACAGTTTCCTGGAAACCTTTCAGTAAAATAAAAATAGTATGTGCAAATAGTTAAAATAGTAAACAGTAAATATAAATTATTGTTCTATTACTATTTTTCTTTCTTTTTCATATTTTATTTTCCCTTAAAGCCCTTTTAAATCATGTAATTATTTAATTCCATTAAATAAAAATGACCAGTACATTGGTGACAGACATATTTAACCATTTAACCAACTGAATATTTTACAGCATAAATTAAAAAATAACATTATCTTCACTCATTCAGGCCTGGGAATCACTGTTCATTGTTATTTACAAATTGTCCATGACCACCCAGTATTTATGTGGAAAGAGTATGAATGCTACTCTTTGCACACTGACTTTACCTCTACGTAAAGGAAGAAGCTTGTTCTCCAGGATGTCACGTGCATCGGTTCCTTCATCCATTAGATCCAATTTAGTGATCACACCTATAGTTCTCAAACCTACTCAGAAACACACAGATATAAATACAATTAAATACAATTTTACAATGAAAAGAGCTTTACAAATCTCACATCAAGGTAAGCCTGCAAGTATGCAAATATTTTAGAACATTTTTAGTCATTGCTGGATGATGACCCACCCTGAGGGTCCACCTCCTTGGCAATCTTGAGGGCATCTGAATTGGCCAGGTCAGAGTTGGCCGGAGACACAGCCAGCAACAAGCAGTTCTCCTTAGTCACAAACTGCATTAGCATATCCCTGATCTGAAACTCAATGTCATGCGGCTGGTCGCCTACTGGCACTTTGGTCATACCAGGCAAGTCCACAAGGGTGAGATTCAAAACTGGCGATGAAAACAAGGGGTGACAGGATTATATGTCATATTTCCCAATGCATGGTTATATGTAACAGAATATTTAGATATGATCATGGTTAAATGTCTGTATGTGCATGAATGTAAGTACCATGAGGCGAATAGACGCGCAGATTGATAGGGACCGGTGAAATGCCTTTGTTTTGGCCAGTGATGCGATCTGTCTCTGCCTCAATTTCCTGACGAACCTCATCAAAATCTGTAAACTTCTTCCCTTTGCAATGCAAAAACTCAGCATATTCTGGAAATAAGCAATCAGAAATTTTAACAAAACTGCTTTTTAGTTTTGCCTTAAAGGAGCACTTCACCAAACAAATCTCACCAATGGATCCTCTGCAGTGAATGGGTGCCGTCAGAATTAGAGTCCAAACAGCTGATTAAAACATCACAATAATCCTCAAGACTCCAGTCCATTAATTCATATTTTGTGAAGTGAATAACTGAGTGTATGTGAGAAACAAATCCATAGTTAAGACGTTTTTAACTTCAAACGAGCCCTCTATGGAAAAAATGGCTTTCTTCAGTGAAGAAGTCATCTCATCTAAATCAGGAGAGAAATATGCACAGATCAAGCACTGTTTACAAGTGAAAAAACATATTTTGATGTGAGAGGACAACAAGCAATGGACTTAATCACTGGAGGAAGTGTTATTATGGATTATGGCTTCGTATTTTGTCTAGAAGTGATGATTTTAATGTTAAAAATGATGCCTTTAATGATGGATTTGTTTATTACAAACAGAGAAGACATTAATTGATGGACTGGAATCGTGTGGATTACTTGTGGAAAATTGTGATGTTTTTATCAGCTGCTTGGACTCTCATTCTGACGGCACCCATTCACTGCAGAAGATCCAATGGTGAGCAAGTGATGTAATGCTAAATTTCTGTCAGGACCACTATTGTCAAAGATGATTGACGATTAGCATACAGTTTGGATTGGCGGTATGGTTCTGTTCTGGGCAAGAACTCCCTGCGCATCCTTGCAGCCTAGCATGGATGAGAGCAGGGAGAGCAGCAATAACCCCCCAGGGTAAACAGAACAGAACCAACATAAATGTATTGCAGATATTGTTAAAGTTCAGTAATTTTATGAAGGGATGCACCGATACCACTTTTTCCAGTACTCGCCCGATAACGATACTTTTATTTTTGGTACTTACCGATACCGAGTACCGATACCAATATTTTCATTGCATTTGTAAAGTTTTTAAATATTGGGTACAGAAACCGAAAGAGTAGTGCTGGGCAGTATGACCAAAAATGTATAACACGGTATTTTTCAAAATTATACCGGTTTCATGGTACATGACGGTATTTTTTTTTTCATGCATGACCGGGTGTTAACCATATTTTCTACTGATTGAGAGAGGAAATACTGCAGTATATTGACTTAGAATGCCCTATTTTACTGTCATGATGAGTGAATATTGTCAAAAAATACCACACTAAATAGTGACTAAACACGACCCCTTTTAATACATGTTAACCAGGAGTCACTCTCATTTATAATCGCGGCATCGTCTGATAAAATCAACATGCATCTACACTAAAGAGTGGCTATGCGGTTGTTTTTAGGGATGGGCGATCCCACTTATTTTGTTTTCGATACCAAACCGATATTTTTCAAGGCAGTATCGTCGATATCGATACCGATACTTCTGAACTAAACTTTTAAAGGGGTCATATGATGCTGCTAAAAAGAACATTATTTTGTGTATTTGGTGTAATGAAATGTGTTTATGCGGTTTAAAGTTAAAAAAACACATTATTTTCCACATACTGTACATTATTGTTTCTCTTCTATGCCCCGCCTTTTTGAAACGCATCGATTTTTACAAAGCGCATCGGTCTGAAAAAGCGAGGTGTGCTCTGATTGGCCAGCTATCTGATGCATTGTGATTGGCCGAATACCTCAAGCGTGAGATGGAAATGTTACGCCCCTCACATACTGTTGATGCCTTGTTCCGGCCGGAGCGACGAGACATAAATATTAAAACCCATTACAAACGAGGCATTTGTTGCATCCAGTGGGGACATAATTACTGATTATAATGACTTAAACTGTCTTTTTACGCACCGTTTTATTTTTTCCAAAATCTTTTTTTCCGTTTAAATTTTTCTGCATTGTTTTTTTTTTCTCTCGTTTTAATTTTTCTGGATGATTATATTACATTTTAACAAAACACATGTCTAATGAATTTAAATCATGAAACTTGTTTAATTTAACAGCAATTTAGGCCTATTAAAAGTTTGACAAAAAATTTCATTCTTAGGGCCCAAATTCTGCGCTTTCAATTTTAATTTTTCTGTATTCCATTTTAATGGTTTAATCAAAAACATATCTAATTAATTGAATTCATAAACAGCACTGAACGTGCATCTCGCATATAAAAAGCATTTTAGGGGGGCCCTTGGCTTTTGGGGGCCCAAGGCGGTCGCCTACCTTTGCCTAATGATTAAGTCCACCCCTGAGCTGATGGCAGGGGGCGGGGGATATTTGTGGCGGTCAGTGTGGATAATGTGGATGAGTTCTTCTGTCATCACGTTCTATTAGTTCTACAGTTTCAGTTTCGGAACTTTCACGCTTGGTAACACATACAGCTGTTCCCTCACCACGGTGCAACAGTGAAAATGCACCCCTTTCAAACAGTGTCACGTTCCGAACGTTGTTTAAGTGACATACTGCGCTATTTTAAAAATTCATATCATAACAAAAATAAATTCGGTATTCGGTATGAACCGGTATACCGCCCAGCACTACAAGAGAGTATGTATAATGGTAGTTGGTTAACTTCATTTATCAAATAGATACAGTCAAACCAAAATTTATTCAGACACCTTCAACATTTCTCACATTATCACAGTTTATTCGCTACAGTTTAGACAATGGTAATAAAATATGACAAGAACTCAAGCAAATATCAAAAATTATATCTGGTCTATAATTTTTGGTTTGACTGTATATCCTTCTGTTATTTTCACACTTAATTATGCCCATTAAAATGTATTTTACAAGTTTTTGTTACTTTCACTGTTCATTTTTTTACTCTCTATGGTAGCCTACATCATCTTTAATTTAATAGCATTAGAGCTGCTCCATTGCAGCGGCTTAGTACTGTAATCACGCGATTTGCTGTAAAAATGCAGGGAACCACTCGCTATAAATCTCCTAACTGTGATATTTTCATAAATAGAAGTCGCGTTTTTTTCATCTGAAACGCGCAGCGATTTATTTTCCAACGCCACTCATATAATGCCGAAACACTCATGAAGCAAGCAAAACACGCGCAACGCGTACGCGTATTTGTACTGATGCAGAATGAGAGGACAGTAGTACAGACTAGCGCATTTCACACAGGCTGTTAGTTTTCACTTTCAAAGTCGTGTATGCTTAAGGGTGAAAATAAATGATGTTTATAGTGAATGCCCCTATAAATTGTCTTATATTTACAATTTAGTTTTAATCCAAATGATGCGTGCTAAGTGAGCGAACATCAATAAAGATCACACAACAGAAGTGTGTGCTCTCCCTCCCTCCCTCCCTACCATTAAGTAACTTGTGCATTGTTTTACTTACTTCTTTTTGACATATCCGACCGAACTACAAACTTTCCAGTGATGTCTGTGAGAAAGGGATATTCACTCGACAAGCTCGCGCTCAATCCACTCAGCGTGATTTGCTTACCAGCTGGCGCAAATCAGCTATACAGGCATTAATACTGAATGTTTTATATTCATTGCATTATCGGCGTTTGGTATCGGGGCATTTTAACGAGTACGAGTACAGGAGCTCAGTATCGGGCCAGATACTGATACCAGTATCGTATAATTGTATGTACACATTTTAGAATTAGTCTGATTCAACGGAGAATCAGAAGGCTGAATCCCGACTGACAGAGGAGGAGTTGGGGATGGAGGAGGGTAATTAGCTATTGAGCAATGCGAAAACTGCTGATAATGCTGAGGGAGCTTATATATGAATGCTTAGATAGGTGTCGTATTCCTATAGGTAGATGGGGATCAGCTGAGAGTCAGCTGATGCGAGCTTGACTAGCGTGACCAGCCAGAACTAATGCTACGCTTGATTTCTCCAAAATGTTTCTGGTGAAGAAACAAACTCATCTATAATTTGGATGGCCTGAGTAAATTTTCTACAAATTATAATTTCTGGGTGACCTATTCCTTAAAAACATGCCTTTAAAAACTACAGCACTTTTTGTCTTCCTTCTAATGCAAGCAAGATATTTACCAGTAGGGCAGTTGATGAGCTGCAGCACTAGGGGGCGCCGAGTGACAATACCAGAGCCACGAGGCAGAAAATCCCTAAAAAGAAAAAGAGGCAGCATTCATTGAGTCACGTTGTTTTTATTTGCAAAGAATATCAAAGTGAATTTCTAGCATACAAATATTACATAAAGAGATATACATTTTCTTTTTAAAAATCCGAAGAATAAATCAGTGCAAAGCAATGCAAAAATTATAAATACTTTTATAAATTCATGCTGCTATGTTTTAAACTGCTTTTACAAGGAAATGAAAGTTCATACATTTAATTACCGTGAATAACAACTCTCCTTTTTTAAATCTAACGATGACTCTCAGTGTATATTCACACTAAAACAGCTCATCCTGAAAAACAGATGTACTGACTTAATTAAAAACATGTCAGTGCTAGTGCTGCTCTGGCAATTTACTGCATAACTCAGCTTTGTGCTTGTTCTAGATATTAGTAGCACTAGTTCAATTTTTCATATATGTCTGTTGCCAGTATATTCGTAACTAGGCCTCTCTTAGTTATGAGATTTGGAGATAGGGTTGAAGAAAGAGCTCTCTAAGGAGTGTGAGAGAGTGCTGTGAGTTCTGGCCATTAGGCAGAAGTGCTTTCAACATGAGTGGATATGTTTAGAAAGAAGAAAAACATGTAATTGCATTTCACCACTGACCACCTTTATGGATTTCAAAGACTGGATGTTTAAAATAGCCTCTACACAATCTAATCTCTCTTTTGTAGGTAGCTAATGTAATTTACATTATTTTTACAGTGCAATTATGTAATTCATATTGACTGTGTTAACATAATAAAGTAATTATGATGGTTATATACAGGTATCTTATCATAATAGGTTCTCAAAGGATCTCTTATCATCCTCATTGAAGTGCTGTAATGTGCAGAACAATAATTGATGAGGATGTTTGTATCATATATATATAGGGCAACATACTTTTTATTTTAGGACTGCTGTGAATTACGTTCACTAGTTGTCAGTCTCAAAACACAGTTCATATTTTGTAGGATATAAGGAAACCTACATATATGTAGTGGTAGAAATTACAAAAATACTGAGAAAATACTTCTTACAGTGAGTTTTTCATAGAAGAGCAGCAAAAATCTAGTCATTGTTCATTATTTGTCAGAGTAACTGTAGCTTCCTGCGGAGTTCCTTTTAGTTTTATGGCACGCTACAGACCAACGTTAACGGTGCATACTGCCACCTACAATACTGGAGTGTGTAAAATCATGGCTTCATTGATCTCATCTGAAATTCTTCTAATAAAACCAGTTTCATGCAAAAAATTAATTAATGCCTTGACATTTGATGATGCACTGCTTAAGTTTTTTCCTTTCTTCAGTTTAACAGAACACGCTCTACACTTTCTTTGCATTTACAAACCTCACATTTATCTGTGTTCACTTTGTTCATAACAAATAATTTATTATTAAGTATTGTGTGTCCTAACCGTAGTATTGAATAACTGATTTCTTATCTTCTGTTTTTACTATTAATTGTTTAACTTAAATTACTTTTTGAATATTCCCTTTGTTTATTTGCCTGAGTGAAACAGGCAAACAGGCATGTATTTAACGCATAGTAATGCTCAATAATTCAGGTAAAAATAACAAAAATAATATTTCTCTCTTAAGAAATTTGAAGTAAACATATGATCAATCATGTTTTTCTCCAATATAGAAGGCTCATATTCCATATTAAAGATAGACTTTGATTTGATTGGTTTTACAAACCTCCTGATAAAAAAATTACTGAAAAGAAAGAAATTAGTCAAATATTTTTATAATAACAGTATCATATGATGTACAGTTAGCTGCCTGCATGTTAACAAGCAAACAATAGTTTTTATTTGTACATTCAAAATGTACAAATAGTTAGACTTTGTAAAAACCTTTTAAGACAAATCTTCTGTGAGCTTTGAGGTTATTAAATTAAAATGATGTCACACGCTTCTGTTTAAACTGTCAGTCAGCATAATTTCAACTATAATAGCCACATTTCAGATGAAGAACTACACTTCACATTATTCTTAAAGAGAACGAACCACAGCAAATCAGTCAGGAACAGAAAAGCAGTTCAGCATCAACCACCCACTCCAATGAAGCACTGTGAATGATGTAATCAAGCTGGTAATTAAATAAACAAGTCACTCTCTCATATATGTAAATGTGTGTTTTTGAAAGCAGTCTATTATTTGATCAAAAATATACCAAAACATTGTGAAATTATATTTATTACAATTTACAATAATTGTTTAATTTTAATATATTTTAAAAATTAATTTATTCCTGTGATAAGTTGAAAATAAAATGTCAGACATTAGGGTTGGGCCGATAGACGATGCCATCGTCCATCGCCAATGGCTGATAGACATCACGATGTTGAGCCGACATCATGACCCCCCCCCCATACCCCCCGCAATCTGCCGCATCCCAATACAGTGTTCTGAAAGTCCCAGTCATGTCCACAGAGGCTGTCCCAGAGTCTGCTCCAGGCCCGGAGCCTACAGAGTTCACTTCTAAGCCCTGGAACTACTTCAAAATTACTCTTGTGCCTAATCTGAAGGCCAGCCAGACCCATGCCCACTACACTGGCAGAACTGCCCTTGGGACTGTCACCTTCATGGTATTTCCCTTCATCACCCTGATTCCAGTTATGCCAGTGTTTGATCTGCCTGTCCTGTCCAAGCTCCTTGCCCTACCGGCTCCATCCAGACTCCTTGCTCTTCCGGCTCCGCCCAAGCTCCTTGCTCTGCCTGCTCCACCCTGGCCTCCTACCGGGACTCCAGAAGCGCTAGAGCCCATCTGGTCAGTCCCACCGGCCCCGCCCCAGACATCCGCCAGGGCTACTGTACTGCCGGAGCCTCCCTGGTCTGTCCCTCCGGTCCCAGCCTGGCCTTCAGCCAGGACTCCGGAATTGTTTGTCCCTCCGAGAGCCTCCCTGGTCCGTCCCTCCGGTTCCGCCCTGGCCTCCTGCCAGGACTCCTGAACTGCCTGAGCCTCCCTGGCTCAGCCCTCCCTGGTCCCTTTAATGACTGTCTGGGCCAGGTGGCATCCCTTTTGAGGGGGGGTAGTGTCAGGGTTCTGTCACTTCGGTCTAGTGTAATTCATGGTTTTGTGACAGAGCACTGACACTCCCGTCGTGTCGTTGTTTTCATGTGAGCGCGCGGCTTCGAGAGTGCTCGAACGTGTCCAGCTTCATGTTGGAGTGTGGTGTTCAGATCCAGGCACTCATGTCTGGTTGAGTTTCAGTTTTGTGTCGGGGTCCAGACACTCGCTCTCCATGTTCTGTCTGTTGTGGGAGCGTGCGGTCTCGAGTTCGCTCGGCCGTGCGCTCTTCTGTCTACGTGTGTTGTGTATTGTGTAGTACAATGTTCAACTTCGGGCCTTTCTTGTTGTCTTGTGTGAACACGCGACTTATGAGTTTTCTCATTAGCTGCGTGTTCGTGTCTTGTTTTGTTCAAGCACATGGCGTGTGATTGTTTTGCTGGCCATGTGCTTGTGTTT